TATATATATATACACATATATATATATATATATACATTCATTGTGTATGTGAGCATATAAATGGTTAATCTCGGTGTGGATGTGTATTTTCGTTTATCAGAGTGGGCATTGTATGTATTTGAGTGTGTGTATGTATGTCCGAGTAACATATATACATCGACGTGTGCCTATGAAGTTGCCGCCGTCGCACTTTATCAGCTCCAATAACACGTGGTGCATTCTAGATATAGCCTAGTGTATCTGATGGATAGATAGCGATAGGTTATGTGTTTGTGCGTATTGAGTTGTTTGCTTCTGCATAATTGTGAGTGGTCATCTAAAACATACGCGTGAACGTATAAAGCACGTGTGCATGAGCGACTACCAATCCATCTCATGCGTGTACGTGTATGCCTGTGTATACACACACACTTATATACATATATACATATATACATCCATACATGCAAACATACACACACACATATATATATACATACATACATATATATATACATACATATATATAAACATATATATATATAAACATATATATACATATATATATATATACCTTAAAAAATATGCATATACATACTGACCACCTACCTTCGAGTATAGATACCTCATTGAACGAGCATTTCCTGCCCCCTGCCAAGTGTTCGAATGTCTTGAGCGCATCCGTTGCTGCGGCTGTGCTGGTGCGCCCATTGGCGACCAATGCACACACTCGAATGGCCCCAGACGCAATCATTGCGTTGTGTGGCATGGCGGGACGTCCCTGTGGTGTTAAAGCGGGATGTAAAATGGGACGTAAAGCGGGACGGTGAGTCATTGTACTGCTGGCATTGTGCGTTTGACACATGTGCGGGTGGGGCGGGGGCGGGTGGTACTGAACAGTCGAGAACCTTGCACGCATACACGTTAAGTATATATTCTCACAACACACACACTTGAGGCAAATACACTCAGAACACACACTTACAGCAAACACACTCACAACACACACTCACAACACACACACTTAAAAAAAAACACACTCATAGTATACACGCTCACAGCATATTGCCAGACTGATCACAGTGGGCCTGTGCACATACCGTTGCGTTTGGGCGCTCATCGAGAATCAGCGCATCGAACAACTGACCCGACGGCTCAAAGCCCACGTGCTTGTGCACCTCGTCACTGCCGCGTGTCTCTAGGGCCAGGCCGTACATGATGGGGTTCATACACGCCTTAAACAGTACGTAAACGGAAACGGAAACAGGTACGCAGGGGTACGGGAATTGGATTTACGTAAGTGTACGGGTAGGGGACGGATGGGAGTCGGTGGCGGGGGAAGGTGTTCGGGAGAGTACGGGAAAGACAGAAGTACGTAAACAGAATTACGTATATTACGCACACACGGGTAGGTACAAGGATTGTCGGGATGAGAAGGAGAAGCGAACACAATATGTTCCCCTTGCCCTGTAACATTGAGCTTACTCAATAGACGTTATGTACATATTTGACTACGCCAACAGGAAACAATGAGCTTACTTTATAGACGCTATGTACGTATTTGAGTGCACAAACAGGTAACATTGAACTTACTCTATAGACGCTATGTACGATTTGAGTACGCCAACAGTCGCGCAGTACTACGTGAACGGAATAGGACCAACAAGGCACAAAAGCAACGCAGCAAAAAAACAAAGTGCGATATGATCCGGAGACACACGTGTACACTGTATGTAAGGTGTGTTCACACGTGCACACGTATTTACATGCATGCATACACAAGCTCACACGTAACGGGCACGTTTACACGCATACGCTTGCTCACGCACACACACTCACACAAAATAAAACACGTTCATACACGTACGCCCACCATCACCCACACACATACACATACACGCACACGCACACACACACTCAAACATACAAGCACACACACACACCCTCACACCCTCACACCCTCATACACACACACACACAAATGTATGACGATACCTGAGCGGTGAACTTGGCGTCGGTGTCACCCAACGACAGCACTTGCCCATCCACTGACACCACACACAGCCCCGCCAAACTGGGATCTATTTCGCGCAGTATCTCCATGTACTCGGACGGATGGTCACCCTGTTGCGAATATACGACATTGTGGTTATGGATTTACGACGATGTAGCAAACACATTGATGGATATGATTTACGACACAGCGGCAAATAAATTGATGGGTATGGATTTACGATAATATAGCAAGCACGCTGATAGAAATAAATTTACGACAATGTAGCGAATACATAGGCAGTGACCATAGCAAATGATCTGGAGTGTTGTGTTCGGGCCATCTGAGAACAACGCTGACTCGCTGTGATATATAGTCCACCAATCAAATCTAGCACATTCACATGATATGGTGTGCATTTAACGTCACACAGTATATTCACATAGTAGTACGTACGTATACACGCGACACCCATTGGGGCATTCCGTACCGCGTGGACAGATATCCCACCACAACCAGACTACACCAACTAGAGAGTGTGTGACAGTAGCACTCACCTGTGTACACACACAGAACAAAGGGCAGGCCATGAAACACAGGCATCACACACGACACACTCATCTCTTTAGGTAATGATTGGCAGAGTATGGCTGTGTGCACAGTACACCACACGCGCATGTCCACTTACCCATAGCCTATACTACTTGGGGACAAATACACGGAACGAGCAAGCATGATATCACACACAAACACACACAAATATAATATATAAATATATATATATATATATATATATATTCCAACCTCATGTTCCAGAGCCTTCTTGGTGGCGTAGTCAAAGAACTCAGCTATGTCCTTGCACCACACAAGCCATCCAGGTATGCGCAGCTCACCGCGAATGGTCTTCGCCACAATGGCTGTGCGGTAGAACGCGTCCAACTGCGTCTGCGGCACTGCAGAGGAGAGTGGAGAATAGACAGGTTGTGAGAGAGGGTATGGGGGGTGTTAAGGTTAAGGGTGTCCTGTGCTTGTTGGTATGGGGTTCGGTAGTTGCGGTGCGGAATGGGGGTCGATAGGTGGGGTAGAAAGGGTGTTGCCTTCCCCCACCAAATAAAACACACACACACGCATATATATATATATATATATGATTGTGTGTGTATATGTATATCTATATATAAGTGTCATATGT